AAGTCAGCTATGAGTTTTGATTCCAAGTCAATGGCAATGAAGGCTTTTTTTTTTAACTTCTCTGAGGGAAGTCTGGTGGCCTAACCCGTGGAGACAGCATACAAAAGATCTGAAAACTCGCTGAAGGGTCAGCTAACTCAATGGCATTCAAGTCCATCAGTGGAGATTCAAGTCCATCAGTGGGTCCATGGGAGAAGGATGAGCAGTATCTTCTCAAGTAATTTGCAGCATTCGACAAACTCACTGGAAGGTCAGCTATGAATCACATTTCCACCTCAGTGGCAATGAGGTTGAGTTTTGACTTGGTCTTCTTCTGGGACTTCTGCAAGGCCTGTCCCTTGGTCTTGTCCTAAGAGGTAAGCTGGTGGTATAAAAGTGGGCTACCAGGGAGGGGAGTAACCTAGGGTTTAACTACATCAGAAGAAGGATCCCAGAACTGGTAGAGAAGTGTGTGGACTTGATTTTCTGCTTTGGCTTCAATGAAGACCTTGGAATGAGGCTGAGGACTACAACATGGGTGAGTTATTGTAAATATTTGGGTTCCAAGGAGTCAAAATAAGCAAGAATCAGAATTTTTAAAATTCAGCTTGGAAATAAGAGTGCAACTGGCTCAGGCCTTCTTCTTATGGCTTCCAGAGAATACCTGGTCCAGAACATAATGTAGGTCAACCTTTGCACTTCCCGTGCTTACTTCCCTGCTCTTAACTTCATTCCATCTCTACTTTTATTTACTACATTGTAAAAAGGGGATGAAGGAAGCCCTTGAACGGGCAGTTTAGAGCTGTTCACTTTAAGGAAAGGAACTTCACGTCAAATTGGACTGATCTGGGCTCAGGTCTCACTTTTGAGGAAGGGGTTATGGGTCAGACTGGACTCTGATAAATGTGCAAATAGGGGGCTGGGGATTGTGCTGAACTAAACCCTGGGGTACTAGGAAAGAAGTTAAGAGTTCAGACTGCATTGGAGTTTCTGGGGAAGGGTTAATGGTCATGATGGATTAAGCTGAGTCAGAAAATACAGGGAAAGTTGCATTGAACCAGAGGTCTGGGGAACGATTTTGAGGTTTTTTTGTGTCTGTTGGGTGTGTTTTTTTTTTGTGTGTGTGTGTCATGTCTTGAGCTTTTATTTTTAAAGTTTTTAAAAATGCATTTATTGTTTAACATTTTTTCCCCTTCCCCTAGTCCATTTTCAAAGCACCTCTCATTTATTGTTGTCATACATAGAATACTTAATATTCCTTTGGACCATTCCTCCCCTCATCTGTTCCAATGAAGTGTTCATTATCCATCCACTCTTTTCCTATTCTCCTCCCAACTTCCCATGCCAGTGCTGTTTTAGAACAAGTGTTATACAGTATTTGTCCTTTCATGACTGAGATATTTCACTCAGCATAATATCCTCCAAGCTCATCCATGATGATTCTGAGCTGGGCTTTGGTCTTATTTTGTAGGAAGGTAGGACTGTCTAAGAAGCTCTGGTGGCACAATAGTTAAGCACTTGGATGCTAACTAAAAGATCAGTGGCTCAAGTCTCCTAGCCACTTTATAGGAACAAAACCCTGGATCTACTACCACCATCATTCACTCAAGCACTTACTTATTGCCATTTAGTTAGGCGACCCTCCATTGGGTAGTCAGAGGTTATAAATCAAATGGGAGGGGACTGCAGATCTTTTTCCAAGGTGGATTCGAACAACCAAAGATATGTGGCCTTTGGGTTAGCAGCAAAAACCTCTATAGATGATGTCACCTGAGTTCCCTCACAAAGATTATTACAGCCTAGGAAACCCTTTAAGTCAGAAGTGACTTGTGACTTGACGAACTGTAATAGCAACTGCACAAGGTTCAAGAAAACTCACAGTATATAGTGTAGGGACATACCCATGCTTCCTCAATGAGGCCTTGGTTGTGACAAGTTCCTGCTTGGACCTGGAACCACCTATACCTGCCCCTAGAAACAGAACATAGGAGTCCTTTCCCCATCTCAGAAACCCTTTTACCAAAGGCCTTTCTCAGAGGATCTGTGGGAGGCGAATGGGGAAGAGCCAGATCTGAGCCTCAAGAGAAAGTCTCTGGCCCTATTTCCTGAGGTCAAATAGTAGGTTTCTGCCCAGGAAGGGAGTTTCTTCAGGGAGTCTCTGGATTTCCTGACCCTTTCCCCTAAAAACACAAGAGTGTGTCTGGTGGCCTAGTGGCAAGAAGCTGCACTGCAATCCCAGAGGTATGCAGTTTGAATCCACCAGATGCACTGCTGGAGGAGGGGCAATCTCCTGTACCAATCAGATCCGATTTGATGGTACACACAAAAAAATAACTTAAAAAAATTAATAAACAAAAACAAACCCCACGAGTGTGAACCGGTCAATGTCCATCCTAATCACACCACCTCTGCCCCAGGCATCCCATAATCCCTACACTGCCAAGCCATATGTACCTGTAGCCTCTCACTCATGCCCAACAGTCATACCCTTCTCTTCTTTGTTCAATACAGTAACACCCTCAACACCTAGAACTGTGCCTGGGACCAAGTGGGCTAACTAAATACACAAATTCAGTAACACACAACTAAAGAAGATAAAAAAAAGCATATTCATTTACATGACCACATACATATATATTTACATACACATAGATTATCTATCTATGCCCTCTCCCAGCTCAATAGCAATATACATACATACCCTGGCACACTTAGGGACAAGTCAGAAAGAAATCTAAAGCTAGACAGATTAGTAAATGTCCTTTGTTCAAGTCAGGCGTGCAGAGGAGGTGCCAATGCAGGCCTTAGTGTCCCGAGGCACTGGGGCTGGCAGCAGGACAGGGCCAATGCAACCACTTGGATCTGAAAGCCTATGGTCCTTGTGCAGTACTTTCTCTGCTAACAGCCATGTGCTCTAATAGGGATGGTGTGAAAGTCTGAAGCCTCAGTTTCCTCTGCCTGGATGAAAGACAAGAGGCTGAGGAATGCCAAGACCCCTACTCTACTAGCAGGGTCTTCCTATCTCACCAGTCTTCTTTAGTAATGGCAGAGCTGAATCAGGGAAGTAAGTCAAAAGGAGTCTGAAACACACACTAGTTTCCTTAGTTATCAGTAACTGTTCTAGGAGTCCTGGCAGTACAATACTGAGTATTTAGCTTCTAAGCCAAAGTCAGTGGTTCAAACCCACTAGTGGTTCTGCAGCAGATGGGAGATCTGCACTCGGAGAATCTAACTTTGTAACTCAAAGAGGGGGAAAACCCCCTCTGGGGCAGTTCTACTTTGTCACAGTAGTCACTGTGACTTGAGACTGTTCAGTCTTTCTATGGAACGCCAGGCTGTCCCCTAGCAACAGCCTTAAGACTTTCTTTCCTCCTCCCCACAACCCCTCACTCAAACTTTCAAGGAGACAAACAATCTACTTTTTTAATCCCTCACCCAGGGACTTTACCACCAGGGGAGACTACTAGTTCAGATAGCTCAAATGGGTTGGCAAGCAGGGACTGGATGGGGGTAGCAACTTTACCGACAAAAACAGGACTTGAGTCTCCCAGGTACTCTCCTTCAATCCAAGCTTGCCCTGGACAAACGTCTATCCCCACTCCACCACACTAATTAAGGCTGCCTATCCCAGGAAACTGGCCTCAAGGGGGGCACCTCTGGCTGGCAGCCACTTGGCAGCTAGGGGTGGGGAAAGCTAGTCCCAAGGGGAGTTGTCTACTGGGGAAAGAAGCCAACTTCTCAGGGCGATATGACCCTAATTTAGAGGGAAATTTTAGGGTCTGAGGTGACTAGTTACTAATCAAATGAGCAGAAAAGCTAAAGAAAATGAGAAGGGAAGGGAAATTCATAAGCCAAATTCATAGCCCCTCCTCAATTGCTGGCTTTAGGGCAGAAAGGAAGGAGGAAAGATTAACTTCGCCGGAGTCATTATTGGGCATCAATGACCAACCAGGACACTCTCAAACTGAAAAGTCTCTTTATTGATCGGTACCATACATGACTCAAATGGCCCTCCCCCCCAGAAAAAAGGCATTACAGCTTGGGTGGGACATCCATGTTCCCCACCTTTCCCCTCAGCTCCTGACCCAACAACCTCTCGACAGTGGCAGCTAGAATGGAGGAAACTGTATGGGAGATCCCAGAAACCAGGAGTGAGGAGAGAGGTGATGCCAACACTTCTGGGACTGGCCATGGGGAAAATGCAGCAAAGCCACAGAGCTGGACCTAGACTCATGGAGCCCTGCTCTTTGCCTTGCCCTGGGCCCTAAGCCTCCATGCATCCATGTATGAAATGGAGCTGAGGATCTTGGCTGCCTCCTTCTCCCTTTTATGAAGGAGAGAGAAGGGTTACTGGGAGATGAAGACCCTTGATTTCTTTCTCCCTGGTAACAGAGCTGGAACACCTTTAGTGGCTCCTTTCCCTCTCTAGCGAGAAGGGAAGGGCTAGATATGCAGTTGGGGGAGGGGGAAGGGTACCAAAGGAGAATGGATTAGCCCCTCTCTGTCCCATGCCAGCCCCACTGAGACAAAACAAAAACACAGCAATAAGGAAGGTTGTTCCCTTCCCACCACACTCCCTAAGGGAGGACGCCTCCCCTCCTTCATCCAGGACAGCTTCGCTAGTTGAGGACTTGTGAAGAACAGACACACCACAGGAGGGGAGGGTTGCGGACTGTGATAGAGGGAGTCACAAGAACTAGGAGAGCAGGCCAGAGTTCTGAGGGAGGAGGAGACAGACACAACAGTCTGGGGTTGTCACCAACAGAGGGGCAGATGTGGCCACCAACAGGCCCCTTGTCCACCCATGGCATGCCTTCCCCAACGTGTCACTCAAGAGGAAAAGGGAAATGTTGATGGCAAAGTGTCTCCTTGGTCTGAAGCTCTCAAACTGAATAAAATGGTATGTATAGCCCTCACCCTCATTCACCCCCACCTCGGCCCCCCATCTGCCAGGAGTAGGGAGGTAGCTGGACTTTTAACAGGAGTTGAGGGGGGACATGAGTGACTTCTTTTTTTTTAAAAACTTACATTTTTAATAATATTATTTTTTTTAAAAACTTGGAGCTAAGATAGGTAGCAGAAGGGAAGAAGAGCCCAGAGGTTTACCCTTCTACTGCCAGCCACCAGTGGGAGGGATTGGGAGCATTCAACCATGCCCTGTAACTTTTAGTCCCTAAGGGCTATAGATATAGACAACCCCAGGCTTGAATGAAGGGGGTACAGTCAAGAGGATGGGAAACCCAGTGAGGATGGATGCAAACGTCCTGGAGGGTAATCAGGACATTTCTCTCCTTAGAGGCCCAGAACCACGTGGGCATCCACTTGCGTACTCTCTTCCCCCAAAAGGCTCTGCAGACGTCATGCCCAATCCAGAGCCACTGGTGGGCAAGTCTTGGCACCTGCCCTGGTGAGTCCAGTTCCTCCCTGAAGTGGGTGGATAGAGGCTGCCCATTTTAGATGCTCAGTCTCTTCATTTTGTCTTCTGCTCCCTGGGGCTGCGAGGGAAGGGGCAGGCAGGCAGAGCACTAGGTGGCCATGGCAGGGCCTTTACTGGGAGGCCTGTGATGTGGGGTTCTCCGATTTGCTTTCTTGGCTGGACGGAGGCTTGCTGTTCCAGGGGCTGTTGGCGCCCAATGCGGGGGAGTTGTTAAAGCTGTCCTCGTCGTCAATGCCGTTGGCCGCGTCAAACTGGGTGTTCTCCAGCCGGGTGATGAGCCTCTCGTCCTCGTCCCCGAACTCCCCGCCCATCAGGGTGGGCTCCCCCACCACCATCACATCCTGAGAGTGGCGGAGGTCCCCAAACATAATCGGGGCAGGGGCTCGCCCAGCCCAGGGCAGCAGACACCCCAGAACCCCAGTACCAACCCCAGAAACTCAACACCCCCGGCCCCAACTCACACCCAAATTTAATACCAACTCCTCCAACACCCTCAGTTCCTGAAGTCCTTCCAAATGAAGGACTTCAGAGCCTCACAGCCTTTAGCCCATGTCCCACTAGATTGTGGGAGAAAGGCAATCTACTTCCTTAGCCTATCTCCCTGGAAAAAAATAATTAAAAAAAAAAAATCAAGGGGTTCCTAAACTTCTGTCCATATGTAAGAAAGGGAGTAGATAAAAAAAAAGGCAGGAAAAGTCTGTGCATGTAGCCATGTCTGTGTCCTAGATTCACAAGCATTCAAATCTGTGTGTCCTCACAGCAGGATAAATGTGCATGTCTCTGATGGTCTGTATATCTCCAAAGTGTCTTTCCTGAGCATCTGTGAGTTCTCATGGCCGTCTCTGTCCCTTTATGTCTAGGTTCCTATGTGTGACCACAACCACATATATACCTGACAAGGTCTCTCTCATCAGTGACAGGAGTCAGTCAACCCATGCTGGTAGAGTACAGCAGTGAGAAAAAACGTCAAATCATCTTTGTTTCTACGTCTGTTAGCGAGCTCAACCTGGGACAGGGGTCAGGGGTCAGCCGTGGGGGAGCCCAGAAGAGAGAAGAAAGCCGAGATGCTTACAGGTACCTGGCTGGAGAGGGCGAAGGTGCTGGCTGGGCTCTTCTTCTTGCTGTTGCTGTTATTGGTGTTGCCACCTCCCGAGCTCATGGTGCTACCCCCTGACATCTTCCGTTTCCGCCGTTTGCTGGGCTGCTGCCGTGCAGGCTCCGCTGTGCCGAATGGAAAAAAGACTCAGGTGGAAGAGGGCCTGGGCCCACTATTCCCATTCTGGCTCCTACAGAGTCCCAGCCTACTCTGATTCCAATCTTGGAAGAATCAAGGAAGGGGTAAGGAGATGTTCGTGGGGTGATGAAGATACAGCTTTGGGGAGCAGTATCATCAGATCCTGGTAAGAGATGCAGATGTAAGGCGCTCACCTGGGGGTGCTACCATGCGCTGCCACTTCTGGAAAAGGCAAGTCTTGAGGCAGTCTCGAGGGCTGAGGCTGTAGGTCTTATGGCGAGACATGAGCTCCTGCATGGGCTCGAGTATCACACAGAGCTGAGGGGCAATGACAAAGTGTTCACTAAGGGAGAGACATGCAGCAGAGAGCAACTTGGGCTGGGGCAGGGATGAGATAATCAGACTTACTCGGAGGTAGTTGAGAGTGGAATTGGACAGCCCACATCGGGTGATGTTTTTAGAGAGCTGATCTAGCATCTGTGGGTCCTGGGCCTGGTGGGAGGAAAGACAAGAATATTGGAACCAGGGCAGTTCACCTGCCCTATGGTCGAAGCATTGTGTTGCTCCTGAGAGAAAAGAGGCCAGAAGTTATTATTATACCTGCTTTCCCAGGTTCAAGTCACAGTCATGAAATGGCAGACTTTATCCCACCCTGTCTACCGCTGGCCCTCACCTTCGAATCCTAAGTCCTGACCATAACTCACGTGCATGGCAAGGATGCTACGGGGGATGAGCTCTCGGTGCTGCCGGATGCTGAAGTGCCACGTCTTTATCCGCATCATGTCATCAAACATGAACTCCAGGTACAATCGTCCCTCAACACACACCTAGGGACAGACTTATTACAAACTTGTCCCTTCCTCATATGTCGGAAAGTGTGCCTGTTATAATCTTCCCCATTTGCTCATAACTCTTCTATTGCACACACTACTGCCATCTGCAAGTAAATATGGGTACAGAATTGTCACAGCATCCTGACCCTTCATATGCCTGTCACCATTCTCCCTTTATACACATACACTGCTTAACACATCCTTCTTTTCCACCCAGGCAGCTAGTGATATACCCATCTGTTATAAGGCCTGTGAGGGTAGTCTTTATTCACTGGTATACCTCTGGTGCCCAGAAAATCAGGTGCTCAATAAATGCTTGATGAATGTGACAATAAGCCTGCCCTCCCTTCTCATTTTGTCACTTTCTTGTTCTATCTCCCTAGGGATAGTTTGAGAGAGAAAAGGGGAAGCAAGCCTAGGTGCTCCACTGTCCCACCTCTAGCTGGGCTGCTGACCTGGGTGAACATGGGTTTGCCATGCTGGGTCACCATGCTGCCCTGGTCACAGTCGAGGGATACAAAGTTGCTGTGGAATGCCTCCTTCGGGTGCTTAAGCACATAATACAGCTCCGTGGCACCCCCTTCAAAGATGCTGCGGAAGTAGCGTGGGATCAGGGTCCGGCCAATGGCTGTCAGAGATGGGACAAAGTCTTCAGGACAGAAACTCAAAAGGCGCAAACAAGAATCTCCCTTGCCAACAGAGGTCCCTGAGACAATTTACTCATCGCATTCCTTAGAAGTACACAGGACGACTTTAAGTACAGAAGAGCTACATTTCCCCAAGGGTAAAGCCCAGAAGGTAGGAAGAGGTAGGACAAAAGAATTAGTGAAAATGAGAATTGCATAGAGGAAGTGGAAAGCACATGATTACATGGTGAGCATTGTAATGAATGTTCTAAAACAAAATGTGCATAAATGGTTGAACGGAAACCAAGATATAAACGCATATAAAAATTATATATGTAAAAGAAGTATACAAGAGGCATGCATTCTCACAGGTAGTCTGGTGGGACCCCTAGAACCCACTCACTATATCTCTTTGGTCCATCCTCCAGGCAGAAAGTGATGGTTAACATGGCATCATCCTCAAAGAACTCAGTTGTAAAAGCATCCCACCAGAGATTGTCACACTCCTAGGAATAATGGGGAGAGGCTTGTGTGTCCTAAGACTTCCCACCAGGGTGCCTGATTACCCACCTTCTCAGCCCTTTCCTCCTTATCCATACCTCTGTCCAGTTTTGAAGCCGTTTGTTAAGTTCAAATATTCTGTAGTCAGTTTGGTTGCCATACGGTGTGTGCCTCCTGGAGAAGAATGAATGAAGCAGGGAGGTCACGTCAGCAGAAGTAACGCACCCCCCCTTCTATAATGGAAAGCACTGGACCTCCCACAGGACTTCACTTACCCAATCCCAGGTTCCAGGTATGTAGGCGGGTACATGGGAGTTGGGCTGTTTAAGGAAAAGAGAATGATAATGGCAGACAGAATTATTGAAGGCTATTCTCTCTCCCTTCTAAGCAGGATCTCATCTGGGGAAGAGCTAAGAAGAGAGTAAGAGACTCACCCCACATCCCGATCCAGCATGGTGCCAGGATGGAAAGGGGGAAAGGCGTTGCCGTTCGGGGGCTCCTTCGGTGAGTACAGCTTGAATGACTTTGAGGAACAACCTAAAAGGGAAAGGAAGAAGGGGTCTCCTAAGCTCCTCTCAGGAGATCATCCGGAAACCTGTGACTCTGTGGACAGAAACAAGTCTCACAAACCCCCCAGGCTCAGATTACAACAGGAGATGACTGGGCAAAAGAAGTGTCTTTAAGGAGCACCTATCTCTAGTCATCTTCCTTATTAAGAAACAAGAAGCATGAGCCCTAATCTTACGCCACACTCAAGACTCCCTTTTTTCACATGACTGATGGCTGTATATCAGCAGAGAAAATGAAGTTGAGAAGATCTATACATGTAAACAAAAAACATCCAAACACTAGAATCTAATTTAGATAAACCTTTTTATCTGCATTACTTTGCACAATCATAAGCATACCTTATGAATTTCCAGGATGATTGTAACATTACTGTCATTTTAGAGATGAGGCAACTAAGGATTCACAGGAATTTGTCAAAATCAGAGAATTGGTAAGTGGAAAAACTAGGGCTTTAGTTCAGATCTTCTGATTCTCATAGCCCATACTAGTACCATTCAAAAAACAAACAAAATACCAGAGATGGCTACCATTAGTCACCTCTACTATCCTCTAAGAGGAAAGGGGGGAAATTTACTAGCTTCTGGATCAGGGTCTCAGGAGGGCAGCAGATAGATAAAGAGGGGTGGGTGCCACCCAAGCAGATAACCAGTTGGGCCTTTTGCCTCCCTACCAACTGCCTTTCCCTTATCAGCTCACCTCCCTACCTCACACCCACCATAGGTACCTTATTGTCTCCAAACCAGAAGCCCAAAGTTTCAAGCCCTTTTCTCTTCTGAGACTTGCAGAGGGGGAGGCAGACAGATAAGCCTCCACTGGATCCCACTACACTTACACATGGAAGGGGGCAGGGAGGAGGCATGGTGAGTGAGAAGCTCAGTCTAGGAGACAAGTGGTAACTAAACAGAAGTCTGTCTCTGTGTGCTCATGCACAAGTCCCCCTCAATCAGGGGCAAATAGTTCCTGGTATACCATTTCCTGATTGCAAAGTGTTATAGTCACTGTTAATAAAGCTAGGTATTACCACAATCACATTCCCAACCCTCTCCAAGAGATGGGATGGGGAAACAGAGGCACAGTCCCAAATGGTTCTGACCCCAGCCATATCTACTTCCTTCAGGTCCCCAAATTTGGTTGCAATAGAAGGGTACCTTTATGAGGCGTATCTATCTAAACTCCCTCCAATTTGGATACAAAATCTATTTTGTTCTTTGGGGGGAAGAAACAAAGGAAGACCCTGTGCCAACATGTGTCATTTAATTCTCTCCCTTGGGCCCCCTCCTCACAACATGGGCGAAGGAGGGTCCCTTAAGGGCTCAAACTACACAATCCCTGCAGGTGCCAAGAGTGTATGCCTGCACATACATGTGTGCGTCTCATCCTGTCTAGCAGGCTTCCACCCTCAGCTCGCCCCAACATGCCTACCAAAGGATGGAACTCAGCAGCCTCAGGCAGAATTGGGGTGCCAGCAACAAGCCCTCACCCCACATGTGAGCTCTTTCAAGTGACACCCACATGTAACAACACAGCACACACAGCCTTCACATTCCACTGAGGATTGGAAAGTGGTATCCTCAAGAAAGAGATGGTCCTCATCCCATACCCAAGTCTATAGACTGAGGCCACACAGAAAGCCAGAGCTCAGAGACTCTACCAACTGTCCCGGCCTGGGCAATGACCCTAAAAGCCTAGGAGCCATCATCCTCTAAACAACACTACTTTTCAAAAAAACCATTAGCTGTCCTAAACTCTCAATTTCAGGGCCACCTGAAGAAACCTGCCAGCTCCACTACAAAGAACAGAAGCAGAACAGTTAGGTTTCTTTTCAACTGAGATCACAGGGCCTCAGTTTCTCTCTCAAAGGACTGAACTGACCTTGCCTGGGACTGGGTAATAGTTCTTTGGAGCCTCTATTTACACCTCCAGCAAATGGACAGAAACAAACTGAGTATCTCTCCAGGGCTTCAGCAGCTCCCAGTAGCCTGAACGCAAGGGCTAGCAAGTGAGAAGGGGAGGGAACATCACCCAGACCATCTGTCCCTGTTGCTGCCTGTCCCCAGCAGCAAGGGTAGAGGAGTAAAGTGGGGGGTGGGGGTGTAGGGGAGGTGTCATCCTCCCCCTGGAATCAGATACAGCCCCACTCCCATCTACAGCAGCAAACTAGGAGCCCTTAGAAAAGGGAGCAAAGAGAGGAAGTGTTCAGAACTAGCAAAGTTTACTCAGGATGGAAGCTCCATCCTGGGGCTGAAGGGGGCACCTCCAGCTGAGCATTTCCATGGTAACCAGCCTGACCTGTGGGCAGGTCTTCTTTTGGGGTTGGCTATCCCACAGCAGGTCTCAGCGCCTCCACCTCTCAAAGCTGGGGCATCTCTCGCACAGGCAAACACAGCAGGCCTGGGACAGACTGGGGACCCTCCACCCACTCCAACAGGCTTGCTGGGTGTCCAGACTTACCTGAGAGAACTGAGGGGGCCAGGAGAGGTGCGGGGAGCGCTGGCAGCCCAGAGGGGCCCCGGCACGGGCGAGGACTGGGGGAGAGGGGCAACTTCAGCCGCTCATGGCCCGGGTGGGACAGGTAGGCCTGACGGGGAGCTGCACTCTGCGGGCCGCACAAAGACTCTCACGCACGGCCTCGGCCCGCCCCTCGGCGCTCACAGCCCCGGGGGAAAGTTACAATGGCCACTGGGCTGGGGGCCGGGGGCAGGGGGGCCGGCCTGGGGGGCGGGGGGCCGCGGGGAGTCCGGAGCCTTCTTTGTTTGCAAGGTTTCCTTCAACAATGGCTGCTCGGCTCTTTCCTCTCTCCTCCTCCTCCTCGTCGGCTCTCCCGCCGCCTCTAGCTGCCTCTGCCTCCAAGTCGCCCGCCCGCCCTCCCCAGGCCACCGGGCACCGGGCCCCTCTGCTGGGACCACAGGAGGGGCAAGGGCGGCTCGCACGCTCACTCCCACACTCCCCTCCACGCGCACACACACAGCGCCCGCCGGCTCCCAGCCTTTTCTCCTCTCCTCTCTCCTCTGCTCTCCCCCTCGGCTCGCTTGCTCGCTCTCCGCGAGTCGCTCTCCGAATGAGGCCCCAGGGCGGGCGGAGGGTGGAGCTGCCCCGCCGGCCCCGCCCCCTCCCGGAGAAAGAGGAAGAAGGAGCGGGCGAGGGAGGGAGGCCGGGAGGGAGGGACTGCTGAGAAAAACAAAAGAGAGACAGAGATGGAAGAGACAGGGGGTGAGAGATACACCACCGGCTGGAAGGAAGGGGAGGCGTGGAACTCGACCCCTCTGCCAGCTCCAGCCGAGGTGCTCCGGGTGAGCAGGGGATCCAAAGCCACAAGCAAGGATGGAGGAGGATGCCCTCCTCTCTACAACCACCCTACTCTGTTCAGACTGCTTCCCAAACCTCTCTCCCTCTCCTGTGTTCCCTCAGGTTAAGGGCTGGTCCAGCTGCCACCTGGGCTTTCAGACCCTGGTGAAATCCCAGAGCAGCTGGGCGCGGGGGGGGGGGGGAGGCTTGGGGGGTTATTTTTGACAGACACATTCTGACTTCGGCTAGTAAACAGTGGCTGGAGGGAGGTGGATATTCCAGGTTTCCCTTCCTCCAACTCAGCTTTGTCCCAAACCATAGATGTGGATTCCAACTCCTAGCAATCCTGTAGGGCACAGCAGGGTTTCCAAGGCTGTGAACCGTTTCAGAAGCCGACTGTGACTGGTGGATCCAAACCAATGACCTTTTAGATAGCAGGAGAGCACTTTAAGCAGTGCACCAGCCGTCTTCCCCACTATCATCCCTGAACACATGTGGGTGGCAGAGAATGGAGTGCTGTCAGAGCTCGAGAAGGCAATACATCCGAGGATCCCAGAAAGGGCCCAGTCCGCTGCAGAATCCCCCCAGGGATACTATGAGAGAACAGGTATGTGATTAATGTTCTTCAATGCAATGGGAACATCCTAACGTAGGTGTTTCTAAAACTTGGGTAATAGGTAATGTAGTTCAGACCATATTACTTGGACAGATAGAAAAAGGAATAAAACATGCACAAGCACGCAAGCACGCACGCGCACACATTAGCGGGAGGAAAGACCTACTGCTTGCAATTTGAAAACCAGCATCCCTGCAATCCCAGAGGTGCGCGGTTCGAATCTACCAGATGCTCTGCTGGAGAAGGAGGGGCAATCTCCTCCTGTACCAGTCAGATCTGATTTGACGGTACATGCACAAAAAAGAACAAAATAAAATTTAAAAAATTTAAAAAAAAAGAAAAGAAAACCAGCTTCTTAATCCCCCCCCACACCATATTCACAAATGGTCCCAGGAAGAATATTTCCCATGACATGCACACCAGTTGACAGAGTAATACTACTGCACCTGGCTCTGAACATCCTTCTTTACATAGAACTAATAAATCCTGCTTTCACAGTACCTGTGATACACTTATTCCTAGACTCATCCAAACCCAAAACACACACACAGCTGTTATACCCTAGCTTCCACACACATTTGAACTTATGACATGCAAGCATCCTGACTCAATACACAAACTGTTTCCCTGAGGTGATGACAAACTATTACATCCTACTGTGACCATTTGTTACACAGCAACTAATTTACCCCTGGAACCACTTTCCCTGAAACCTACACACCATTTTCCATTACAGCCTGGTCATATTACATATACATCCTATCTTTCCCAAATATACAGAAAATTATGATGCTCAGCAAGACCTTGCAATATACTACCTACTTCCGGGATTTACAACATTCCCACTAACTCCCAAATTGATAGCACAACTCTGGGATAACCTGATTTCCACTCCATTGACAAGATGACTCCTATTTGTATCATATAGTTATACTTTCCTAAACGCATTCACATGCAGTACCTCAGAAGATCCTGAGAATGTACAGGAACAAAGATTATCCTAACATGAACAGATCAGAAGTAGACAAGAGGGCTGAAGCTGGAACTCTGGGCCTGAAATTCATTTCTTTGCCTATTGAACATTTCCTTGCCTTGATGTTGCTCAAGACCAGACCTGAGGCACTGCTGCCATTCCCACCTCTTTCCCCTTTACAAGGTATGGCTAACACAGGCCTCTAACCACACTGCAGTTTGGAGGGGTGCATGCTCTGGCTTCTATTCTAAGTCTAAAGGCTTAGAGCTCTGAATTCCCACCCAGGCTGTCTTCAAATTCAAGGGAGAAGGGCTACTCAGGCTTCCAGGCCATTCAAAACAAGTCCCGTCTTGGTTCCCTTCTCTAGGAAGACTGGTCCTCTCTTAGTTCTGACCCAGTTCGCAGGCACATGGGGCCAGAGGAGGTCCAACTATATAAAGAAAATCGGAATTAGGAAGCCTTAAAAATTGAGGAGAGGGCGAAGCTAGGAGAAGAATGACACAGGTGATGGGAGATGGAGAGCACCCTTGGTGAGGTGGGGGAAATGAACAGAAGCAGCCTGTCCCACTCTACAAGATGAGGTCCCAGCACTGCCCCCTGCCCGGGCCCCTGGGGCTCCCTGACCCAGGCCTCCAGTGTGCCTGCCCCCCTTCCTTTGTCTGTGCCCGGCCTCCCGTTGGCCTGGCGCTCTGCCATCCTCCCCTGGCTCCCAGCCGCCACCACTGCTACCTCCTCCCCTCCCCCTACTCCTCCCTGCCTTAACCCTTCTGAGCCACATGCTGCTCCAGACAGGACCCTGGCCCCCTTAGCATCCTGCTAATGGTGATGTCCCTTAGTAGAGATCCTCCTGGATACTGGCCATTTCAGCTCCAGAAGCTGTTCACAGTCCCACCCCAAGAGCACTATGGGAGCTCTGTGTGTGTGTGTGTGTGTGTGTGTGTGTGTCTGGTGGTGTTTCCGCGTGTGCATGTGTGTGGGTCTGCGTGTGCTCTGGCTTCCCTCAGTCACATGTGTGGGGCATGTGCTGTCTCTGCTGGGCTGGGGGAGGAGGAGGAGCCGGGAGACAGCAGAGCACAAAGGAGAGACTCAGACAGGCAGGCAGGCAGGCAGCAGGCAGGCGGCCTGCCAGGGCTCCCTGGCCCCCACCCCAGGGCTGCTCCAGGGGGCGGGGGTCTTTGGACCTGTAACTGCTATATGCTACTACGCACCAAGCCCATGTGTTCAAGCATGCGTTCCCATCCAAGCATGTAAGCCTTGTTCCCTCAGCCCCAACTCCTACCACTCCCCACCTCTGGGTTATTCTCAAGCCCCTCCCTATGTAGTTCTCCTTGAAGTCCAACCTCCATCCATTCTCTGTGGCATCAATTCATCAGATTTCTTCACATTTCAGGGAAAAAAAGATTCCTAAGTCTTAGCCATCTTCCTCTCCACTTTCCCAGTCAGGCTGACAGATACACAAAAGGAACATCTCATTTTGAGACCCTTACTAAAATTGTCCTCACTACACACCTATATTACACATCTCTAGGTCTGTGTCCTCTTTCTGCCCTGCGCTGCAGCTCCCAGGACTGAGGGGGAAACTTTCTCTCACTGAATCCAGTAACTCCAACTTCAGGGCCAAGTTACCCTCCACCTCCAGCCTGACAACCCCTACCACTACTTGTGGAAATGGATAATCTATAATTTAAAACTCATCTCTAGAGTTTTTTTCAGAGTTTTAGTTTTTGTTGTGCTCACGAGTGACAGTAGAGAATCAGGGTCATGGGTGGGATCAGAACATGGATGGATCTTAACTCAGGTACCAATGGAGTAAATACATAAAGGAGAAAATACAAACATGAACACCAAGATGGTAGGGGAGGGAATGATGGGATCAGGCAGGATTCCAACTTGGCAAGTCCTTCTCTCCTCCTCTCCCCCACCCTCTGCAGCGGGAGCCAAGGGTTCCCACACCAAGATATTCCAGGATCCTCAGGCTGTACTAGCCCTCCCTCTGGGCCCCATGCCCCTTAAACGTCAGCCCCAGCAGGCACTTCAAGTGTGTGCCCAGCCCAGCCCCGCCTGGGTCACATGATTTTCAAGGAAGCTTTGACACTGGCAGCTTCCCTTGGGGATTTTGTGGAGGGGGAAAGGGGCTCTAGTTATGAAGTATGGGCCTCCAAATAAACAAGGCATCTTGATGAGGTAAAGGGAGTCAAACTAGGCTAAATTCTGGAATATCCAACTTCAGGACAAAGCTAAGGATAGCAAAAACACAGGAGTCTTGCAGATAAAATTCAAATAGACAGTTCTGGGGATAGAGATAGACTGTGTTCTGAGGTTCTCTGATGATGTCCCCTCCCTACCATCCTGGCAGTGAGGTAGATCCCACTCCCCATCTCTACTTCAGGATACAGTCCCACGCTGTCTCTGGTAGGAGCTGTCTGCCATGTGTTTTGGAAGGCAGAGGCCTTGAATCTGGATCCTTTCTAAAGTTCTCATTTTGGGGTCAAGGGTTGCTACTCCAACTCAACTCTCCATATAACACTCCATTTCTCAGCCGGGAGCCACCACCACATTCCCCCCTCCCACTATGTCAGAGATGCCATGCCCAAGGGTCCAATTATTTGGCACCCCCAGGAGTACCTCCTGTCCTCTGGAGGGCCAACCTTGCCTAGCAACAGGCTGGAAAAGTGGGGGAGGGTAATATGGGCTCTAATCAATTCCTCTCCCCAAAACAGGATCCTCAGCAATAGCGTGGGGGGTGTCAAAGGATGTGTAAAGAGTAAAATAGGCAGCTGGTAATGGGGGGGGGGGAGACAATCCACAGCAGCCAATCACAACTCTATGATGACCTGGGGGGGGTCAAAAGTCCAGAGTCACTTCTGATTGGCTAACACTTTGGAATTCTGGGAATTTTAGCCCCCCCCGGCCCCCTCCCCAATTAGCATTCCCCCCAGTACATACACATAAGCTACCCCCATGGTCGCCTCAGCGTGCTTCGGGGCTGTTGCGCATTTACAGTTGTAAGAAACCCTCCCCTGGACCGAGTTCCCCCCACAGTATACCCCGTACAGCCCCAGACCTCCCCCTGCCATCGACGCCCCCCATACAAGTTCTCGTCATACAAGGGTGAGGGTCTATGA